GAAAAGGTACATTATAACCATATATCACTACATACATTGCTACATTGTTGCTATTGTTCAGTTGATAAGTTGTGTCTGACTCTTGTGCCACAGCATGGACCGTAGCCTGCCAGGCTCCTCTGTCCATGAAATTCTCCAGGCAAGAATACTGGAGTGGGTGGCCATTTCCTTCTTCAGGGGATCTTCCTGACCCAGGGATTGAACCCGAATCTCCTGCACTGCAGGCGGATTCTTTGCTTATGAGCCACCAGGAATGTACATATACATATATATGCATTCCTATTCATGCATTAGGATGAATAGTGATTAATGATAGTAGTTACCATAGGGATGGAGGGAGTGGAAAGGAACTTACTTATACCTTAATTTAAATTACGGACTTCCTTGGTGGTCCAGTGGTTAAGAAAGCTGCCTGCCAATGCAAGGAACACCAGTTACACCCCTGGTCTGGGATGATCCCACGTCAAGGGGCTACTAAGCCCATACACCACAACTTCTGAGTCCATGAACCTGTGCTCCACAATAGGAGAAGACACCACAATGAGAAGCCCGCACACAGCAAATAGGAGTAGCTCTCCCATCGCTGCAACAAAAGCAAGCCCCGGTGCAGCAAGGAAGACGCAGTACAACCAAAAAAAAAAAAAAAAAGTTCTAAAAAAGAGGTTCTTACCTTTAAAAAAAAAAACTACTGTTCTGCTCTCTGAAAGCTAAAATGATTCCTGGGGCTTCCCTGGTGGCTCAGGGTTGAAGAATTCGCACACCAATGCAGGAGACATGGGTTTGATCCCTGGTCCGAAAAGATCTCCTACACTGGGAGCAACTAAACCCGAGTGCCACAACTACTGAGCCTGGGCTCCGACAGCAGTAAGAGAAGCCAGTGCAACGCGGAGCCTGCGCACTGCAGCCAGAGAGGAGCTCCGCTCACAGCAACCAGAGAAAGCCCACGCACAGCAACGAAGACCCCGCACAACCAAAAATTAAAATTAAATGATTCCCATTCACTGAAACCCTAATACAAATCAGGTAATGTGTAAGATACACTTCGTATCTGATATTCCTCGCAACAAATCTAGGTTATAGATATCAGTAGCTCCTTTTTTTAAAACAGATGAATAAATATGCATCTGAAATTAAATGATTTACTAAAGGTGTCAATATAGTCAGCTAGTGGCAGAGCCAGGATTCAGGCCAAGGGCTTTCCACCGCAAGGCCCAATCCTGTCTCTCCCACAGCAGTACAATGTTACGACCTACGTGCAAATGTTTGACAATATTAAAGCGTTCTTGGAAATTATTCTTTTCATAAAAATATTTCAATCAAGATAATTCTAGGATGGAGAATGATAAAGAAAAGAGGATGGCAAAATGCAGAGTAAGCAAAGCAAATAAAAGCTATAGACGGCACCCCTAGAAAAATGTACATAGACATGAAATATATACAATCTTAGCGGTTCACAAATTTCCTGGGAGCAATCACTAAAAAGCCTTTGGAATCGAAGTTAAAAACTTCTCTTCAGGGGAAAAAACAGGCCATATTCACGTATAATATTTGAAGGACCATCCAAATTTCTTTGACCCGAGTTGTACTAGTGCATAAATGGACCAAACATTGCTGTAATCAGAAACCGTTTGGTTTGCCTTAGTAAAATCTACCACCATTCTAACTATAACGAGCTCTGTTCCAGAACATATACAAGAGAAGTAATGAGGCTGGTGGTTACAGGAGGCTTCCAGAATTAAATTCAGACATCTTGTGTTAAAGGTTACCTTTGTTGAAGGATGAAAGTTAGAACAAAGATCAACAGACACTAGGCTTAAAAGGAGGACCTTTTATAAAACCAGAAATAATTACTAATAAGTTACACCCCACCATAGGCTCATATTTGCAAAAATGTACAAGATGCAAAATCTTTAGTTTTAAAACAAGAAAATGCCACACAGCCCATTAGCTTATTTTTGCCTGTGTAACACAGTCTTTTTCTTTATATTTCCTTCTTTCTCATTTCCGGTGATGGTTGTCTTTCCTGCTCTTTAGTCTTCTTCAATATTCCCTTATTCTGCCATTTTTATCTCTTAAGCAAAGGTAATGTACAGATATTTAGTTACAGACTTCATGTTTCCTATCAAACTAGCTAATTTTGGATTAGCAGGTTTTGTTTCCCTCAATATATACATCTAAACTGGTTGATTTCTTTATCTTGTGGTTTTCAATTGAGTGTTTACTATGAATCTTTCATTGTGGAAAAAGACAGAGTCAATACTGTACAGTAGTTCAGAGTTATGTTTCACCCAGCACACAGTCTTTTATTTTACAACCATACAGTATGGGGGAGGCAGAGTAATCAAGGGAAGTACTCTCAGAAGGCAACAGTTGAGCCTAACATTACAAATAGCCCAGCCTGTGAAGATAAGGGAGGAGTCCCAAATAGAGGAAAATAGACTACGCAGCTGAAATTCACTAAGACTAGTTAGTTGCAAAACGCTATGAAAACCCTGATGAACCTTTTGACCAATCCAATATTATCTCCTTGGACCTTAAAAATGCACCTCCTAGTGCTCTTGTTCAGCACTACAGTATTCAAATGGTAGGCTGTATATTCTCACCTTTAAGTATCACCTAAACTGAGAACAATGATTTGTCTTAAATATTGCCTACATGCCTCAACTTTTCATTTTTAGAAAAAAGTTAGTGTACTGGAAAGAGCAGATTTTGAAGTTTTTAAAACCTAGATTTGAAACTTGGCTCTGTAAACAAGCTAGTAGAGTGACTTTCGCCCAAGTCACTTAACTTGGCTCTCTGAACACTTTTTTTTTTTCCTTTTTAAGTGTGTTAAAACACCTATCTCCTAATGTTCTAAGGGTGAAATGAGACAAACCTTTCCATTACCTAACACAGTACTTGGCATATAACAGAAGCCTGATCAGTAGAAGTGACTGCCACTTTCTAAGCTTCCCCATAGTAACAGCATGTGTTTCCTTGAATCCTCATCATCACAATAACTAGCACAGTGCTTCACACATAACAGAAACCCAGGCAATCCCAGGGATTGCCAGCTACCATAGTGGGCAGTTTCCAACTTGAGACAAATATTTCACTACTACTACTTTTTTGGAGGCAGTCCTAACTTCATTGGGTGTATTTTATATAGGTTTATATATAAGTGTTTTATTACTCTTTTAGTATTCTGTTAATAACCTTTGAACAGCTTCCAATGGTTTTTAGAATACAACACAAACTCTTTAGGATCTATTTAGTCCCAGCTTCTTTCCCCTCCCCCTTACTTAAGACGTTCTAGCCACACCTGGCCTCCACCTGCTCCTCAACTACTACCCCTAAGCAAATTTCAGCCTCAGGGTCTATTTTCCTCTAACTAGGACAGTTCCTCCCCCAACTTCACAGTTCAGTTGCTCAGTCCCCTCCGACTCTGTGACCTCATGGACTGAAGCATGCCAGGCCTCCCTCACCAACTCCTGGAATTTACCCAAACTCATGTCTATTGACTCCATGATGCCATCCAACCATGTCATCCTCTGTCGTCCCCTTCTCCTCCAGCCTTCAATCTTTCCCAGCATCAGGGTCTTTTCCAATGAGTCAGTTCTTTGCATCAGGTGGCCAAAGTACTGGGAGTTTCAGCTTCAACATCAGTCCTTCTAATGAATATTCAGGACTGGTTTTCTTTAGGATGGACTGGTTAGGTCTCCTTGCTGGCCAAGGGACTCTCAAGAGTCTTCTCCAACACCACAGTTCAAAAGCATCAATTCTTCGGTGCTCAGCTTTCTTTACAGTCCAACTCTCACACCCACACATGACTACTGGAAAAACCATAGCCTTGACTAGACGGACCTTTGTTGGCAAAGTAATGTCTCTGCTTAACATGCTGTCTAGGTTGGTCATAACTTTTCTTCCAAGGAATAAGCGTCTTTTAATTTCACGGCTGCAGTCACCATCTGTGGTAATTTTGGAGCCCCAAAAAATAAAGTCTGGGCTATTTAACACAACTGTGGCCTCCTGAGAGCCCTTCTTCCCTTGATTACTCTGCCTCCCCCACCAGTCTGTGTTATCTTATTCCTGGACTAGTACTTTCCACGACGCCCAATTCTTTTATTTGTTTCCAAGTGAGGACAGGGATAGTGTCTGTTTTGCTAGTTGAGCCTAGGGCTTATACCCGTCCTTCGCACAGAGCACGCGAGTGACCCAGCTACAACTCCAACGGCCACCTCCTGGCTCCCGGCTGGAGCCCGAGTCGTGTGGGGGCTTGATCGGGACCCGTTAGCTTCTCCTCACAACCGGCCCCCTTCCTGGGTCCTAAGGACGCGCACTCCCTTTTCCCCCGGGGGAGCTGGGCGGGACGGGACGGTGGGACGCCCCCGCGGTCGGGTCACAGCCACGGCTGGAATTCTGGACCCAGGGGTAGGGGATGTGGACTCTGGAAACTCGAGCGGCCACAGCTGTCCGCAGCGCGCGTCTGGGTCTGTGGAACTGGCGCGCAAACCCCTCACAGGACCAATCCTTCTCAGACCCGTCTCGAGTCTTTAACGCGGACTTCGCAACGGAGGCGTCCGTCAAGAAGGCGGCCTCCTCTCAAAAGCGGTGAGGGAAAGTTTAGCTCTTCTCACCAGAAAACGACTTCAAGCAACCGACTCGGAAAACTCACCGGAGAGTGCAGGCTGCACCGACCTCCCCTCCCGCGACAGAACCTGACTAGAAATGCGAGCCGCCGCCAGGAGACAAGCGAGCGAGCGCGCGCTGAGGCCGCGCAGTCGCAGATGAAACTTGGCGCGCCCGGGGCGGGGCGGGGGACTGGGGCGGGGCCAGCTCCTCTCGCGCGCTGACGCGACGGGTCGCGGCGGAAGGGTGTGGACGCGCAGGCGCCGCGGCGGCTGGGACGACAGGGGGCGGGCCCGCGCAGGCGCTTTGAGAGGCGGCAGCGGCGGCGGCGGCGGCAGCGGCGGCGGCGGTAGAGGTAGCGGCGGCGGCAGCTGTGAAGGGGTTCCGGAAACATGGTGCTGATTAAAGAATTGTGAGTGGGACCAGTGGGCGTGAGCGAGGTTCTGGGGCGGCAGTGGTGGGGGATCCACTGACTGAGAAGTGGCGGAATATGCCTAAGAAGGAGCGAATCGCGGGGCCGGCCGCTCCCTGCGCGCGCCCCCTCCCGCCGGCACGCGCCCCTGGCCCGCCCGAGGCCCCTCCGCGGTGCGCTCCCCGCTTCCCCCCCCTACCTCCAGCGCTGTTGCCGTGGTAACAGTGCCGCCCTCTCTCCCCCCAACCCTCACCCCAGGGGCGGAGGAGGCAGGGTCCCGGCCCGAGCGCGTGGCTCCGGCGGGCGAGGCCCGGAGTTTCCGCTGGGACCCGCCTTCTCCCCAACCCCCCCACACCCCAGTCTGAGACTGGGCCCACCCGCCGCCGAAGCCCGATGGTGCGGGGGAGACGCGGTCGGTAAGTGATTTGTCGTCCCCGGGGTGGAGCTTGCCTGTAACCCGCGGGAGGTGGGCTTGCCAGCTAAAGGCTGCCCTGGTGGTCGGGGGCTCGAGGTGGCACGTAGGCGCCCTGTAGTTCCTGCCGGAGCTGGGAGTCGGGAAAAACCTATCTTCGCTGGGAAGCGAAGCTCTCCCCATCCCGAGAGAGCCATCTCTCTCTGCTCTTGAGTCTCAGTTTCTATATCTTGAAGATAGGATGACACTCTGGGCTCCATGGACTTCCCCCGGGTTTAGGTGAGGCGTTAACATGTGGTCGGTCGTATGGAAGGGTTCCCAGGTGCATCATACCGGCGAAGTGATTTTGTTGAAAAGTTATGGCATTTCCTACCGGCAAGGACTGTGACTGATCTCGGGAAGTCTGGTTGGCAGCGAGTGTTCCGCTGTCACACCTGGTTCATGTTGTCAGCCACCGTTTGGGCAACTGGGGATTTCTAGTGTGGCCCATTCTTGGGTGTTTCAAATGCTGCTTTCATTGTAAATTCTTGAAATTTTGGACTCAATTTAGCTAACTCCAGACAGCTTATTTTTAGTGTTAGTTCAGATTTCTTTTTAAAAGTAATTCCTGTCGCTTCTCTGCTTAAAAATCTTCCGGACCCCCTTATCTCACTGAGGGTAAAAGCCACCGCCTTTAGGATAGATGCCCTGGGAGGTTTTACCCACTGTTTTGTTCTCTGATTTCAGTTAAGCCCTTCCCTTGCCCTTTCGAAGCTCACGAGGTTTCTTGCTGTTTCTTCACTGCTCCAGAAAAGAAGCTCAGTCCAGGGCCTTTCTGCTTGCTCTTCCCTCATTTTACTAATTCAAGCCTTTTCATGTGTTTGGTTAAATATCACTTTCATGGAATCTCTTTCTGAAGATTCACTTGCAACCCTCATGGTTTGGTCTTTGCTTTTCCAGCTTCATTGGTCTTCATAGAGCTATCACCATCTAACTTGCTTCTCTGTTACTGGATGTTAGTCTCTCACTGTACATAAATTTCATGAATTTATCTATTTTGCTCACTCTCCTGTTCCCAATTCTTGAAGTCTCTGGCACATAGTAAACGTTCAATAAATATTTGTTAAAGAAATGAATGAAAAATTCTAACTTTAGTCAGAGACAGCGATCCTGAGAAGTTTTCAGTTAAAATTTTATTAAATTTATAAAAATTTTCTTCCATTTCATTTGTATAATGTAGCATGAAAGTGTTAGTTCATTTATTACTCTGAAATTTTTGTAGTGTCTGTAGTTGGCAGGTGTTAAGACTTCTGGAGGAAATAAGAGAAAATTGACTTAGCCCAAGTCACACAACAAGTAAGTTGCGAAACTAATTTTGGGTTGCAGATCTAGTAATTTTTCTTTTATTAGAGTTACTTCCTCTTTCTGTAATGTGAATTGTATTCAGTAGATCCCTTTGACAGTTATGTGAGTAGTGTCAGGCTAAATCATGGAGAGCAATTCTCATTGGGAATTTGCACACTATGCTTTTTGTGAATCATTACTTTCTTCATAAAAATTTCAATGTACCGAGATAACCAATGTTGAAATATGCCCAAGGTGTAATACTTTTTTCTGAACGAATTCTCAGTTAATGTTTCTTGATGTCCACTCCTCACCTGTGTCTCTCCTAGATTTTACTTCCCTCCTAAAGACTTCTTTTTCTGGCTTCCCTGTGTGGCTTGTGGGATCTTAGTTTCCTAAGCAGGGATTGAACCTGGGCCCTTGGCAGTGAATGCTCAGGGTCCTTACCACAGGGCTGCCGGGGAATTCCCGTTTTTCTCCTAGAATTTTTGAGGTCAGAGGCTGTTTTCTTATTCCAGTATTCCAGCATAACATCTCCTCTAGCACACTGTAAGAACTCAGTGTTGTCTAACGAAAAAAATGATTCTTCCTACTCACCTGTCTGTTTTCTAAAATTGTTCTTGGTCAGGAGCAATGAATAGGTAGGTCATCCCTATGTAAGGATGTTGGTAAACTGTAATATACTTTGGCAAATGTTTGTTGTCTTTAAAAATGCCAGCTATTTTTGACATGAATTAAAAGGTTAGAAATAACTTTTTCGGGATGGGGAGTTATCTTCAAGTTGTTATTTAAGCAGTAGGTGAAATTTCCATTAGCATAAAATCCTGGTTTTAAAGAACTAGTAGGTTGTGTGATTTGGAAATTATTTTCATAACAGTTTTCAGAAATGTTTGAAAATTTTCAAAGTGCTGTATAAGTTGAATATTGCTTTTAGAATAATAATGCAAAATTAAAGCCTGTTTCTTACCTCTTTTACTTTTTCTTAAATCTTGAAGAAGTTACTTGACTCGTCATTCATTCAGAATGTCACAATCAGTCACTTTCATTTTGTGAAGTAAGTTTTCCCTACGAGTAAAATTATTCAGCAGTGATTGTTGGTTTTGTGAAACTTCACGGAAGTCTAACTGTTTCCTTTCTATTCCTTCCTTCGACTTCCTCTGCAGCCTAGTGTGTGTGTGTGTGTGTGTGTGTGTGTGTGTGTGTGTGTGTGTGTGTGTGTGTGTGTGTGTGTGTGTGTGTGTGTGTGTGTGTGTGTAAGTGATGGATCCATGGACTGCAGCCCAGCATTCTCCTGTGTGTGTGTATGTCAGTGTCAGTCGTGGACCCTTGGACTGAGTGTGAGTCATGGACTAGAGTTCTCCTGTGTGTGTGTGTGTGTCAGTGTGAGTCATGGATCCGTGGACAGCCCCCCAGGCTCCTCAGTACACGGAGCATCCTCCTTTGGGTCTTTGTTAATCCTTGCCCTGCCTTGCAAAAGATGGCTTTTTACCACAGCCTCCTGCTTCTCATTGTCTCTAAGCACCTAAGAGGACATGTTAGCTATAGCTATGTTGCTTACTTTTTGGAACAACCTTCCAGGATTCTTTGTTGTTGAATGAATGTAATAGATTTCGTATCATTGTATTCCAGGCCCTGAAAATATGCTCCCAACCTGTATCTTTGTCTGATTCTCCCAAAATAGGCTCCCAGCCTATATCATAGTCTTCCCCCTGTCCACTGCACCTCTCCACCCCAGTTTTATTTTCTGTTACTGAGACTGTGAGCGTGTTAGTGTATACCCCGAGGAGACAGCTGAAATAAATGATTAGGTATTGGAAGGATCTTGTATAACAAGGTTATTCTTGATGAGAAGAAGTTAGCAACCGTTGTGACTTGGAGAGCCTTCACTGTCTTCAGACGATCATTATCAGAATGACAGAGTGATGAGCGACCCCCAGTAGTCAAGGAGGGGGGAGCACAGAGACACCTGGTGGAGATGAAGGTGACGGGAGCACTGAAGCATGGGTGTTTGAGGAGGACTGGGGGGAGAGCAACAGATAAACAGTGCAGCTGAGGAGAGGTTGGAGCGAGGAAAGCTATTGGGGATTTCCTGTGAAATGAAAATTGAGGTGAACCCTGTGGTATTTTTTTCCTCTCCTTAAAGTAGAGTTAAAATAAGATTTTAAGTGGCATTGCTATGGTAGTTAGATGGTAGGAGGGAAAAGTCTAAGAATGACCAGGTTGGGGGCAGGTGGGGTGGGGTGGGGTGGGGAGTTGCCCTCTTGGACCTTGAGACTTTTCATATTTGGGGATGGCCTTGGTTTTCAGAGCTTCTTGTGGAACTAAGTATTTGAGGGTACTTACCTAAAAAATCTGGAGGTAAAATGCAATATCCTGATATAAAATAATTTGTCACAGAATTCTTTTTTGGAATTCACCTTTAGGAGCATTATGCCTCTGTCCTAGTCCTCTTGTATGTACAGGAACAGACTCTTGGACAAGGTCAAACACAGCAACCTCATGTTGAATCTACACTGAAAGGGGTTGTATTTATCAGGTTAAAAGTATTTTCCATGGTAGTTTTTTCTTACTAAGTCTAAAGGATGTTTTACGTGTTTTTTTCGAATAAGACTGAGCAATAATTGGGTAGTAGGGAGCAATTTTTGGAGGCATTCATTCATGAGATTCAAGACATGAATTCTGTGAGAAAGTATCATAAAAACAAAATGCATAGTGTATACATGGAGAATGAAACCAAACTAAAAATTTCTTGAGGGCAGCCTGACCAGACGGTCTACAAATGATACATCCTGTCCCCTGCAATTTTCAGTGATGAGTTTCCTCTTGTTCCTTTATTCCTCACAAGAATCTCTACAATGGCATTTTTGGGGTCGTGGTATGATGAGGATGCTACATGCAAGTGATTGTTGAGAGTCAGCAATGGGTAGTTTTATTTCCCAAGTTTAAAAACTCTTATTTAGATCTGTAGTCATTGCGAGGACCCTCTTCCATAAATGACATCTCGTACTATGCTGTCACTGGATTTAAAGCAAAAGGTCTTTTAATCGCGGAGATCAGTTATAAAGCCAACCACTTCGTGTGTAACATTTGTTATCCTTTTGTCTTTTTAGCCGTGTGGTTCTGCCATGTTCAGTTCAGGAGGTAAGTCTTGCTTACATAGTTTATTTTGATATGCTAATCTGAGGTCATATTTTGATTTACGTTGCCATATGTGACAGTGAATTATGATGTGTTAGAGATAATTAATTGTAAATGAATATCTGTTACCCTGCCTGGTTTTGGAAGAATCTGAGAACGCTGACCAACTTGTCCAGTGCAGGAATTCTGTCGGCAATGTGTCAGAGAATGGAGGTTCCAGCCGCAACCTGGGCACTTTAGGGTTAAATCACTGGCTGCTTGGAGTAACCGCCTACTTCACTGTTGGATATTTTAAACATTTCTCATTACTTTAAACCAAAATATGCTTTCCTGTAAAGTCTGCCTGCTGTTTACAGTTCCTTCCACGTGAGCAGAAAGGGAAGGAAGGAAGCCTGTTCTCTCTTACCCTTGGTGGCCCTTCGGGGTAACTTGGCAGTCCTCTCCCCTCTCCTTGGCCCTTTGCGGTCCCACGGTGAAGCGTCCCCAGCACAGTGATGTGGCCGGTGTAACAGGGCCTCCGGACTTCCTCGCCGGCGCGTCTGGCTGCTGCCTGCGCTGTACTTGTTGCTCTCAGCTGAGACAGTGTTCTGCACAGGAGCGCGAGAGCCTGCACGGTACAGAAAGGCGCCATCTGTTCAGAAAGCCGCGTGTCTTGTGGACGCAGCTCTCAGTAGTACAGCTAGGAGAGAGAAAAGCAGAGACGGCTCCTGAGAAATCAAGGTCCACGGAGCAAAACCCGCGAAGGCCTTGGGCTCCTCCTGTGACTTGCTCACAGCTTGTGCTCCTCGGTTGTCTGGGCTTCCTGGAGCCAAGACTCAACTGGAACCACTGGATTGGAAGTGGAAGAAAACAAACTGATAACCTGAGATGTGACAGCTGACAGGAGGCAGGCAGGAAAAAATGCAGGAGCTGAAAACGAGTAGCCGTCTGGCGCTGTTGATGTAGACTTGAACACAGCCGCAAGCGCCTCAGTAGGGTCTGAGCTTTCATGTGTATTAGAGCTCTCAGATAAGCCAGGCACCCCAAATCTTTACTTGTACAATTGTTTGAACGTGAACTTGAATGTGGAATTCGACTTTCTTTTCTTTTGGTTTCAGCTAGTTGGATCAACTTGTTGAAATCTTTCTGAGTCTTTTGTTATTGTCACCCAGAATAATCTCAGCTTTTTGTTATATTCAGACTTAATATGCCTCCTGTCTTTAAGTTCGTCTTGAAAATGAGATTGAAAGCCTAGTGGCATGTGACAAGTTATCATTCCATTAATAACATATTTTGAACACTGTTGTTTCTGTGTAAATTTTTGTTACTCTGTTTCTAACCAAGATCAAACTTATCCTCAGACTTAGAGACACTTTAATCCTATTTTTAAAATATGACAGTGTTGAAAAGTGTATTTTGAAGGACTTAAGGATTGTAGCATTCCTGGACTAACCCTGGTGGTCTGTCATAAAAACCAGAAGAAAGAAGACAGCCCTTTCTGCAGTCTGAAATCTCTACAAAAACTGATTTTTGACGTATTTAAGAAATGTGTGTGGTTCCAGCTTCCTAAACCTTTCCAAATTTGTGTGTTTGTGTATTTGAATTAACTGTCAACATAGCATCATATTTCCATGGACTTTTTTAGATAGGACTATTTGCTGAGCTTACAACCACCCTGATTTTTTGTTCCTCAAAATAAAATGTTAGTTTTGAATTACTAGTTTTTAGAGGTAGCCTTTCTTTGAAAATATGCTTAAAAAAAAGAGGAAAAAAAGAACAACATTTCTTCAGGCTCTCATCATTAGAAGGAAGAAATTTAGCCAAATTTGAAGAGGTTGGAGATGGTGCCATGATTGAGTCACTGGAACACATTAGAATGCAGGAACTTTGCTTTTTATCATTCTTTGGAACTGTTGGAAATTCCAGATGGGCGTAGAATAGTGCTGTCCACTCTCAGGTGTTGGTGCAAGCCAGCGAGAATTCTCATTCACTTTAAAGTGAAAGAGAAAGCACTGTCAGCAATTTCTTGCCTTTTCATGTTAATACTTGTATATTTATACTTTAAAACCAGTTTCCTTTTACTGGAGAACTTCACAGTTAACAGTTCAGACCCTAGATACCCAATACTGTTTGTGCTTAGGTGGACCAGAGCCAAATCAGGCATGTACATACATGAGCATGGAAAACAGGACCCCAGAGGTCTACTAAAGTTTGCACTGTAATGGTCCTTTGTATTTGCAGGCTTTTATTATCACTTTATAGCCCTCCTCATTATTGAGAATGGTATTCTGATTGCTCAGCTTTCTTTTTTGGTGAAGAAGTAGCAGATACATTCCTGTCGTACCTTCTTCAGGATTTTGTGAAATAAAGTGAGATGTCATAGATGTCAAAATGGTTTGTAAAATATGAATGTATCTTTCTTATTCCAAAAAAATGCATTTTGACATTGAAACAAGTGGATAGTATGTATTAAAGCACCAGAATATTTGTAACTAACAGTTTTCCTAATTCATGGAAATCTTGTAAACTATTGTAGTTTCTTGAAGCTGTATGATCATCTGGTGTTCATCTCTCCACACATACTAATTTCTCATCTGAGTCACGTTTTCATGTGGAACATATGTGCTTAGTGGTTGGGATGTGCTTTTCTGTATCTGCAGAAAGATTTTAGCACAGGAAGTTTTTGTAGTTACTGCTGACTTACTGAAGTTGGGTACTCTTTGATATTTCAGTATCAGGTTGGGCAGCTTTACTCTGTGGCAGAAGCCAGTAAGAATGAGACTGGTGGTGGAGAAGGAATTGAAGTCTTAAAGAATGAACCTTATGAAAAGGATGGAGAAAAGGGACAGTATACACACAAAATTTATCACCTAAAGAGGTAAGCAGGGTGTTTGCATTTGGTGCTTAGTCATCATATTAAATAATCACACTTTGACTATCCAGCCACTTATTAAGCATGTAACTACCTAATTGACTATTGGGTGTTTTTTTCATTGTGATAATATGTTGCATTTTAATTTTTCAGAGCATTCCTCTCTTTTATTACTTTTAAATTATGAAGTGATCTGTCTGCTTATTAAAAAAATTCAAACAGAAGATGATAAGTTAAAAACTTGGTACCAACCTCGTGTTATCACAAATCCATATCCCTAGAGAGAAACTAGAAACAACTTAACATTTGTCCCTGCAGATCGTTTTCTACACATACTGAAAGAAATTTTTAAGAAACATGAAAATGTCACCTGTGTCGTTTCTTGCTGTCCACAGCAAATGGGGTCATACCACACACACGGTTCTGCACTCTGCATTAGTTTTTATTCAGTGATACCTCGTGAGCATCCTCCCGTGTTATCATTTAATGCCCTTTCCTTATTTTCAAAGCTGAGTAAAATGTCTTGGCGTAGTCATAAGCATAGTTTGCTTAACCATTCTCTAAATGATAAGTTGATTTAGGTGTTTTAGGTATTTGCCTTCTTGTCTTTTGCAGGTAATGTTTCTGTGAAGGTGGCTGTGCATAAGTCTTTATGCCTTAGGTTCCTCTGTCTCTGGAAGAAGTTTGTTACAGTAGGATTGCTGGAAGCCCATGCTCTTTTAAAGTTTTGGTATTATTGCCAGATTGCCTTCCAAGAATTTGAGAGCATTCATTTCCCCATAATTTTCTTTTTAATTTTTGCCAATTTGATGCACAGAAAATAGCCTCTTGTTTAAATTTGCATTTCTCTATCAGTGAAGTTAAATGTTCTTTCGTATTAACTGGCTCTTTGAATTTATTGCGTGACTTGACCATTCAGATCCTTTGTTCATTGTTTTTATCTCTTAGTTTGCAGTTCTCCTAAGTTTGGCAGTTTGATGGCTGTTTTTTTGTATAAATATTCTAAGATAGAAAACGCATACTAATACTTGCGTAAGGGCAGAAGATCAGCAGCGGCTTTAAGAGTGTCTCGTCAGTAGTGTCTGCTCTCCACGGTTTGTCAGAGGAGGAGGGAATCTGCTCTGCGCTGCGCTTCCTCTCTTCATGTTGATTCACGCTGGGGTTTTGTAGAGCCTTTTAAGGGTGTGGATGAGCTGTGATGACTCGTATTTTTCATAATTCTCTCAGTTTAAGGCTGTTGCTTTGTTTATGATGACACATGAATATAAAGTGGGATGTCACTTTGTAGAATCTTCAGTTTTACTTTGATGTTATCTTAGAATGCAGCATTTCTTTGTTTCTGCTGCAGGTTTGAGTGAGGGCAATAACTTTGATTAATCAATTTTCCAGAGACTGTGTTATTCATGGTTTCTTTTCATTCATTAGCACCTGAGGTATATCTAAAAATGTGCCTTTTCAGAAATTTTAGCGTTCTTCATGGTATCACCTATATAGTATTCATAGTATTGAATTTACTTATGCTTACTCAGTTTTACTTTTCTAGCACTTGACATTTACTCATTCATTGAATTTTACCAGTACATAAAAAAGCCTCCCTTTATCACCACCGGTGAACTCTCTGGGGCATCTAAAATAAACCAGAGCGTCTGATGCAGGCCTTTGAGACGGGCCCTGCGTGCTCTGCCTGCTCCCTGCCCACCTCACCGTGCTGCGCTTGCATCCCCCTGTTCTTTCTTGGCCAGCGTTCGCCACGCTGGAGGCCTCCGAGTGGCGCTTTGGTCGTGCGGGTCCCTCGGCCCGCTCTGTGATCGCTGTCTCTGGGTGTCGCTGGCCCTCAGGTCCCCGCTGCAGTTCCCTGAGCCTCCCTCGCCTCTTCTGAGCACCTTTGCCTCCCGTGCTCGCTCGCCCGCTGCCATGTTCCTTAAACTCACGGCACTTTAGGAACACTGCTTTTCTTTGCCTTTTGTTGTCTGCTGACCTATTTTCCGCTTCCCTCTTGGGAAGGTGAGCTCCAGGTAGGAATTGTCCCTGTTTGTACACTGTTATTTACATGGTCCCTGGCACAGTGGGACTCAAAGTAAATACTTGAGTGGATCAAGGAACGAGGTCTCCATTGTACGTAAGGTGTATTTCAGTTGATTATAAAGTGAAAGATTACTTACTCAAGAAGACGCAAACTTTCCATTGGGGAAAGTGCAGTTTGAAATGATTTGCCAAGGTATTATTTATCTTAGGAACAGGATTTTCTTTTTTAAAGTTGGCTCCTGCGTCAGGAGAAGCTACATGTACACTACGGTCATTTATTATGTCTCTCTTAAATCACGTAAGCCCTCTGTTTTCTTCTCCCACTCTAACCAAGGTATCTTACTGCACAATACACAGGTTCACAGCCATTAGTACGTCAAGGTTAGATTTGATATTGATAACACAATTGATGAAACACTTCAGTTGAATTTTAGCATGAACTTAAGTATTCTTATTTTGTGTTCAGAGATGGAGTGGTGGAAGGCTATGCACTGGCAAAGAATGTTTGTGCAACTGGACATGATACTATGGCTAACACTTAAACTCTGTGATTGAGATGTGTTTACCTTGAGGTAAGCACTGTCACAAATATTGATTTATTGTGAGAGGACATTTTGTGACTAGTTTGGAGTAACAAGAGGATGAATGTCCTTTTTAGTTTGTTTTTGAAGGTCTAGCTCTGTTTTGTTAATTTGGCCACTATTTCTCCGTTTTCTGAGGCTAAGCTTCCAAAACAGTGTTTCCTGCATGTTGCTGAAGTGACATCCTCAGTGACCCTGAGGGGGAGAACGAGGTATATACTTTCTCTTGTGTATAAATGGCACCTTTGACTTGTCTTGTTAGCAATATGTTGAAGTTGCCCTTGATGAAAATTCTTCTCCTTTGAAATAGAATTGAAATTTTATTGTATTTATTCCATGTGTGCATTTCCCCTAAATGTAGTCAGTTCATTTTCTCATATTAAACATGAAAAGCCAGTAAATGTGAAACAAAACTAGTGCAAAGGTTTGCTCATTTTTTTGTCATAGTTGTTCAGTTGCCACATTGTGTCCAACTCTCTGCCACCCTGTGGACTGCAGCATGCCAGGCTTCCCTGTGCTTCACTGTCTCCTGGAGTTTGCTCTTCATATTCATGTCTGTTGAGTCAGTGATGCTATCTAATGATCTCATCCTCTGGCACCCTCTTCTTTTGCCTTCAGTCTTTCCCAGCATCAGGGTCTTTTCCAGTGAGTCAGCTCTCTACATCAGGTGGCCAAAGTATTGGAGCTTCAGCTTCAGCAACAGTCCTTGCAGTGAATATTCAGGACTGATTTCCTTTAGGATGGACTGGTTGGATCTCCTTGCTGTCAAGGGACTCTCAAGAGTTTTCTCCAACACCACAGTTGAAAAGCATCAGTTCTTTGATGCTCAGCTTTCTTTATAGTCCAGCTCTCACACCTGCACATGACTACTGGAAAAAACCATAGCTTTGACTATACAGACCTTTGTCTGCAAAGTGATGTCTCTGCTTTTTAATATGCATTCTAGGTTTGTGATAGCTTTCCTTCCAAGGAGCAAGCATCTTTAATTTCATGGCTGCAGTCACTGACCGTGGTGATTTTTGGAACCCGAGAAAATAAAATTTGCCACTGTTTCCACTTTTTCCCCCATCTGTTTGCCATGAAGTGATGGGACCAGATGCCATGATCTCAGTTTTTTTCATGTTGAGTTCCAAGCCAGCTTTTTCATACTGTCCACTTTCATACTCATCAAGAAGCTCTTTTAGTTCCTGCTTCACTTTCTGCCATTAAAGTGGTGTCATCTGCATATCTGAGGTTGTTGATATTTCTCCTAGCAATCTTGATTCCAGCTTGGGATTCATCCAGCCTGGCATTTCACATGATATACTCTGCAAAGTGACAGTACATAGCCTTGACATACTCCTTTCCCAATTTTGAACCAGTCTCTTGTTCCATGTCTGGTTCTGACTGTTACTTCTTCACCCTTATACAGGTTTCTCAGGAGACAGGTAAGGTGGTCTGGTATTCCCATCTCTTGATGAATTTTCCACAGTTGTTGTGATCCACACATTCAAATGCTTCAACATAGTCAGTGAAGCAGAAGTAGAGATTTTTCTGGAATTCCCTTGCTTTCTCTATGATCCAACGAATGTTGGCAATTTGCTCTTTGGTTCCTCTGCCTTTTCTAAATCCAGCTTGAACATCTGAAAGTTCTTGGTTCACATAGTGTTGAAACCTAGCTTGAAGGATTTTGAGCATTACCTTGCTGGAACTTGAAATGAATGCACTTCTACAGTAGTTTGAACATTCTTTGGCATTGCCCTTCTTTGAGATTGGAATGAAAACTGACCTTTTCCAGTCCTATGGCCATTGCCAAGCTTTCCAAATTTAGTGACATATTGAGTGCAGCACTTTAACAGCATCATCTTTTAGGATTTGAAAGAGCTCATCTGGAATTCCATCATCTCCACTGGTTTTGTTTGTAGTAATGCTTCCTAAGGCCCACTTGACTTCACACTCTAGGATGTCTGGCTCTAGGTGAGTGACCACATCAGTGTGGTTATCTGGTCATTAAGACCTTTCTGGTATAGTTCTGTGTTTTCTTGCTACCTCTTTTTAATCTTTTCTGCTTCTGTTAGATCCTTACTGTTTCTGTCCTTTATTGTGCCCATCCTTGAATGAAACTAAGTCAAACATAAAATGAGTTGAAATACACATGGTAGAAAAAGCCTCCTAGATTTAAAATAATAGGCATTTGGAAGCACGATGAAGAAATACTAAAGTTTTTTAGAGATTGGTCGTATGCTGACCTTCAGTAGATGATTGCCAAGTTTCTTGTGTCAGCAAATTTTGAAACTTGATGAATATTAAGGTTTTTAGAGTATTGGGCACTATAGAAATAGAATAATTAAGAATATTTTAAGAATTATTTTAGAATAATTAAGAATATGCGATCTTGGGCATACTGTGTATGTGATAGTAATACTTCAGCTTTTCCAATGATTTAAAGATTTAATTTGCCACAATAGTAGGAGCTTCAAACCATAGCATTCTTTTTATTTGGCCATGCCATGTCGCTTGTTGACTCTTAGTTCCCTGACCAGGGATCAAACCTAGGCCCTGGCAATGAAAGTGCCACGTCCTAACCACAGCACAGCCAGGGAATTCCTCAACTGCACTGTTCTCGTGTACTGCAGAGGCGAGGAAGGGGCTGTGCGCGCTGCACTTTGTAGTTACACGGCATTCTGGCTGCTCTGGGGCTCGTTCCACCTTCCTTGCTTAGCTTCTGAAATTCAGCATAGGAGTATTTCTGATCAACTGCTCAGTCTTACTGTGGGGCTGTTGTTCTTTCTCTTAGTTTAGGAAATTAAGTTGTGCTTAAGTTTTCAGAAAGCAGCTCTGATGGAAAGAATATACATAGGGCTTCAAGTTGGAGGATATCATTCTGACATTGTTATTTAGCTACTTAAATTCTGGCTATATGAAATAATGAATTAATGGTTAATTCATAGTGTTATTGGGGGATTAAAGTGAAGAAAGGCATATGAAAGCACCCAGCTACGTGTCAGCTTATAATTAAAAAGCACCCAGCTAGCTAAGTGGTATAAAGAATCCACCTGCCAATGCAGGAGATACAGGAGACATGGGTTCCATCCCTGGGTCAGGAGGATCCCCTGGAGGAGGAAATGGCAGCCCAACTCCAGTATTCTTGCCTGGGAAATCCGTGGACAGAGGAACCTGGAGGGCTGCAGTTCACAAGGTCGCAGAGAGTCGGACACTACTGAGCAACTAAACAACAGCAACAACAGTTGCCGTTGAGTCAGCTCTCACTGCACTGTGCCTGGTGCTTAACACGTTACAGGTACTGGCTGACGGGACCCTCAGTTACTGCAGAGTACGTGATGCAGACCCCATTCAGCACAGGAGGAAGTTCAGAGAGCCCCGTGATGCGACATGCTCCAGGTCCCACAGCTTCTTCAGGGCGATGTGGGATTTGAAACTGACCTGTGGAAAGCCTGCACACGTACAGGTTTCTGTACCGCAGGCGCCAGTCAGGAAGATGGTCATTTCGTTGGCATTGCTGTGAAGACTGATAAAACTAATTTTCCATGTTTGTTAAAACTAACTTTCCAGTTGTGTGTTCTGTTAGTGGTGTCTCCGTGGTTGTGCTTTGCCCACTTATCTGTTGGGATCTTTCCTGATAATCTCATGAATTTGCACAAGCTCATCATGTGTTAGTTACATAGTTAACCTGTCTGATCTGATCAGATTTGAGGCTGCAGTTGACATTTATTTTCCAGGTTGACACAATTTTATACTTAGGTATGTTTGCCTATCTTCCTCTGTTCACGGACCCTTCATATTATCATTTTTAAGTTTTTTCTGTAAAATGTGTTAAAAGGCTTATATTCTGAGTCATTACCTTATTCTAGAGACTCTCTACTATGTTAAGAAACAGTGTGGTGTGGTCTGATTGCCAGAGACAGCTTCCGTGTCCCACGCAGGTTGAACAGCTTCAGTTAACTCTTAGATTTGGAGTAACTCGTATTATGGGAGTAGGTCAAAAGCTGTAAGAAAGAGTTCTGTTTAAAAACACAGTCATTTTGTTGTCTCTACATTAATTTTATACTTGAGTACTCTGAAACAGTCTGATGGAAGTCAACAAAGTAGTGATGCTGTTGAGAATGTATCCAGTGTTTCTCTCCTCCCAGCAAAGTCCCTGCATTCGTGAGGATGATCGCTCCCGAGGGCTCCTTGGTGTTTCACGAGAAAGCCTGGAACGCATACCCCTACTGTAGAACAAGTAAGTCTGGTTCCCAGAAACCGTCTTCCCGCTCTGCCCTGCACCCTGGGGGTCCACGCCTTAGAGAAGGGTGACACCAGGTGGGGCCTTCTGTGGTGGGTCGCTGCACAAGCTGTGGCAGAAAAGCAACTGCAGGGGTCCCTCCCCCAAGCCTTGGTGAGGGACACAGTTCCTTCCCAGATGACAGGCACCCTGAGATCGTGTTGACCAAGCAGGCTCCACGGGCAGCAGATAAAAGGAATACAGAAATCTTAAAGGTTACCCTCACACGCAAGCGTTGTTTGATGTAGTTTCAACAGTATTTTGCTTCCATTGCCACGTGGTGGAACCGTTTCCTGTTGTTTGTTCCAGGTTGTTCCATCAGCCTTATAAATGGTGTTTTGCTCTTGTGACATTATTCCTTTTATCATTGTTTTAAAATTACTTAAAATGATTAGATTGCAACTCCACAGTCTTAACATATCCCATAGTGTCGCTTGTTTAGAGATTGTGCTTTGCAGATCTAAACCAAATGTTCTGTGTTGGCAGGTAGTTTAATCTTTGTGACATTAAATATTGTGGCAGACTGTTTTGGCTCTGATTATAATATTCTGAAAATTTTTCCTCCTTGGTTGCCTACCTGTTCCGGTGTGCCTCAGTTGTAACGGTGAGTAAAACTGTTTCTGTATCACGTAGTCTTCATCTTTAAACTTCGCCCTATATAGTAATTGCTTTCAACTATTTGTTGCTTTATTTTCCTAAAACTGCCCACCGCTGCATGGCCCTTCTCTATCTCCGGGCACCAGCTTACACTCCACCATGTACTCCACTATTACGGGGCTCTTGGCAGCCTTACCTCGACCTCTCCCTCTTGACTTTATTTTGCTTCTGCAACTTGCTTTGAATGCCACATCCACTCAGCACAGCTCACAGCTTCTTCGGTGTTAGCCCTGTGCGCTGCATGTCAGGCAGGGTTGTGCACGTTATTTAAATGCATGTTGGCTTGGCCTGACAAGTCTGTAACAGTTGGCAGCTAATGACTGTCTGTCACCTGAGGACCAGTCTTCTTGTAGAGTCAGAGTGTGGACGCTTGTGCCTGGGGAACGCTCCTGCAGACACAAGCCCGAGAACCGGTGAAAGGTCACTGTCATTTTGCTGTTGTGTTTTCCGCAGAACGAATATATGAAAGATGATTTCTTCATTAAAATTGAAACATGGCACAAACCAGACTTGGGAACGTTAGAAAATGTAAGTTTTTGACCCTGGGCTTTCAGTGAGAAGGCCTCCGAAGTGGGGATACCGCAGTCTTGTGTCATCGCCAGTGTGACGCCAGCGGCCTCAGATGAGCACCCGGCCACGCTGGCGCGTGTCAGACTGCGTGTCTGGGGCAGGCTTGCTGCCAGAAACCAGTGGGCCTGCCTTGTCAGGCCCCTTGCCTTGGTGTGCGAGTGAACTTGGTGAGGCCGCTGCTTTTATCAGTAACTCCCTTTATCTGGGATTGGGAGAGGGTAGGTAAACAAAACTCACAGATAATCCTTAGGCCAGTTTCAGCTGTTAATTTAAAAAAAGGTTTTTTTTCATCTCTGTATTTGCCAGAGCTCCTGTGCATAGCAAAATTGATTGCTTTAATTTTCACCTCCATTCCATTTGGCTTGAATTATTGGTTGATTTCAGAGAAATGCCCAAAAGGCAGGAAGGAAGAAGGTATTTTGAATAATTTACAAAAATGTTGAAACGCTCCTGACTTTTACAAATTGGTGCACTTTTACCCCTCAACTGAATTACCAGAAAGTCGGTTACGACTTGGTATAGCTTTTAACTTTTGGTTAGGTGTAGCAGGGAGCTTGGGAGGGCATCTGTGTCTGCTGTAGGTTGATGCCCTGGCCCAGGGGTTCTCAGGTGCTTGGTCCCTGGACCAGCAAGCAGTGGCGATGGGGAACTTGTTGGAAGTGCCGATGCTCAGGCCTCACTCCGTACACGCTGGGTCAGAGTCTCTGGGGGTGGAGCCCTGCAGTCTGTTTTCTGGGGGGCATTCCAGTTTGAGAATGACCATTGCAACCTTTTGATACGCTCTTACGGGAGAGTAAGTTTATGGATAATGGTGGTAGAGTATGTTTTTCCTCTGCTTTTCTGTTACTGGTGCCAATCAAAGGAACTTTTGAGCTATAACTTGGAGTATTTAACTTGAGTTTTTCTTCAAGATGATCACTTGTATTTTTTTTTTTCAACAGTAACTAGAATTTAGAGTCTGAATGAGGTATTTTGATATGCTTTAGTCTATATGATTTAATTTGCCATCTTTAGTGTTCAAATGGGCCTGTCTTTGGCAATTTTTAAGCAGTTCTTTATGGGTTCATTGATGGAATTTCAGAAGTAAATGATTGAGTGACATGAGGTATAGAGGAATTGACATCCTACTGAAGCGGAATACCTTTAGAGTGAATCAAGTTCAGGAGAGGTTTTCGAGCTTATAGTGCAGCTTCTTAAAATCTGTCACCTTCTGTTTGTCTAGGACTTAGAGGTTATAAGGACTTTGTCACGTATCAGTTGGGTTAAACATAGGTGAGGTTTATTTTTTGTATTAGTCATCTCTAAGAATTACCAGGAAATAATGATGACCGATTTCTGTGAATTTGGCAGCATTCTCTTCCTCCCTCCAGCCTTCAGACAGCTGATTTAATGAAACAGCAGCTTGGGTTGGTTTTATTATGGCTCTTGTTATACTCTGAGAGACTCAAGATAAAGATTATATATGGAAGCGTACTAGTTTTACCTAACGAGAAGAGTCTTAAGCTGGCCTTGTTTCCTTTCTCATTTGTAGGTACACGGTCTAGATCCAAACACGTGGAAAACGGTTGAAATTGTCCACATAGATATTGCAGATCGAAGTCAAGTCGAACCAGCAGTAAGTACTATGTACAGCTTGATAACATTTTCACCTGTTACCTCTTACCTCTGAAAGTTCTTTTATTTGATTCTTGTGTGGCCTCCCTTTCTACTCTGAAATAAGTCCGGAGCTCAGCTCTGGGTCCAGAAAGAGGTCAGAGCAGCACATGAGATGAGAGAGCAGGAGTAGGGGTGGTTTGTTTCTCGTGTGGATGTCACCTTTGCACAGGTTATCCCTTTAAGAAGTCTCAGTATACCCGGGGTACATAGGGGTTTGCTTTCATTGAGAGGAAAAAAAAAACATTATTTTACAAGAGTTCTCTTCAGTTTCTTTAGATACCATGGGTACCTTATACATTTAAAGTCTGATTAAGAGAGCAGAATTTTAACTTAACAAACTTTCAGTATTAGTTCAGTCTCTCAGTCTTGTCTGACTCTATGACCCCATGGACTGCAGCACGCCAGGCTTCCCTCTTCATCACCAACTCCTAGAGCTTGCTCACACTCAGGTCCATCCAGTCGGTGATGCCATCCAGCCATCTCATCCTCTGTTGTCCCCTTCTCTTCCTGCCTTTAATCTTTCCCAGCATCAGTGTCTTTTCGAAGGAATCAGTTCTTCATATCAGGTGGCCAAAGTATTGGAGCTTCAGCTTCAGTATCAGTCCCTTCAATTTTCAGGGTTGATTTCCTTTAGGATTGATTGCTTTGACCTACTTGCAGTCCAAGGGACTAGTCTTCTCCAGCAGCACAGTTCAAAAACATCAGTTCTTCGGCGCTCAGCTTTCTTTATTCTCCAACTCTCACATCCACACGTGACTGCTGGAAATACCACAGCTTTCACTAGACAGACGTTTGTCAGCAAAGTAATGTCTCTGCTTTTTCATATGCTGTCTAGATTGGTCATAGCTTTTCTTCCAAGGAGCAAACATCTTTTATTTTCATGGCTACACTCACCATCTGCAGTGATTTTGGAGCCCAAGAAAATAAAAGTCTGTCACTGTTTCCATTGTTTCCCCATCTATTTGCCATGAAGTGATGGGACCAGATGCCATGATCTTAGTTTTCTGAATGTTGGGTTTTAAGCCAACTTTTTCACTCTCCTCTTTCAGTAGCTCACGGCTAAAGTTGTCATTTGTGGAAAACTGTTGATGGTAGAATATCCCAGTTTAACAGTTGTGTAGCTTCCACTTTTGCGTCTTACTGGATGTAGATATTTGTACTCTAGACTTTTGACTTAATTTAAAAAATAATTGTTTTCACCTGCAAAGGACGCTTTATTCCTCACCAGCCCCACCCCCCTACCAGCAGTTAAGACCCTTGTTATTTCTTTACCCCAGTCAGTTCTTACAGTACGTGGGGCGCGGCTGTGGCCTCTGTGTGTGCTGAAGCTTCGCAGTAAGAGTGGCGCCTCTTGGTTTGTCATGCTAGCACGTGTTCAGTTAGGGCCCCTTTCCATTTCAGTTTTGACGCTTATTCCCTGAACTTGAGCAGTGCTGTGAGGTGAGCCCCCAGAAAACTAATAAGTGTCTGGTTTTGCCATTGAAATTGAAAGATAAGCTTTCAAAAACAAAGGTTGGACCTCTTCTCAGAAATCACCAGGGTGGGGACCACCCGCAGTGACCCTCTGCTCAGCCAGGTCCTGTTCTATTCAGGGCCCCCTCCCTGATCAGAGCTGTGAACGCTGATAAGGGCACCTTGTCATAGAAATTCTGAAGTTTTAGTTGTGCTGTCATTTAAGTTATTTTAGTTTCAGAAATATTTTCACCTCTGAAGTTATCTCAGACTACTTTTTATCCTTAGAAATGAATGTGTGTTCTCTTTTAGCAACCACATTCAGTTGTCTTGTCTGGCCCCTTATTGCTCTTGGTATCTCTTCTAGCCACGAGCTTTGTTTGTGGGAGGCTGGTGACAGGGTGGAAGATGACATGGTGTGGGTGACTTGATAGCTCGGTTGGAAGAGCTCAGATGCCCGGAGCAGCAGTGCGTGCAGCCCACGGGGTTGGGTGCTCCTGGGAAGGTGTTCAGACCCTACTGTGGGTGTCCGACAAAGGTGTGCTGGCCACAGAAGTGGTCCAGCCTGTGGTTCAGAGGTTTGCATTCCAGGTTGTTCTCCCGCAGAGCTCGGGGTGCCTCCTTCTTCCGGGGCCACCGGAATGGTTTTCGTTCCTATCCTCAGGCCACAGTGGGCCCCCAGTCAGTGTTTGCCAGCGGGCGTGCAAGGGGAAAGGACAGCTCAGCCGACCGTGCCGTAGCCCTGGAGGCGGGCGTCCCCTTCCTTCCACCCCAGCCTTGCCCCCAGTGGGGAGGGCAGGTGCTGTGTGGTGGCTGCGCTGCCACAGTGGCTCTGGGTGCAGGTCTCCGCGGTGCAGAGGCGCGGCAGGTGGCGGGCTCTTGGAAGGACGTGTGGGTGGATGGACAGGGAGAGAGGATGGCTGGGCCGGGTGAGGACGGTCTGCATTGTGAGTCCAGGGCAGCGGCGCTGAGAACATGCAGTCAGAAACTAGATTGGCTTCAGATTCTGCGATTGCTGCCTGCCCGCTCCTTAGTTACTTAACCTCTCTGAGCCCGTTTTATCTTGTGTAAAATGGGGCTGATTACCTCACAGGGTTAAGCGTGAACACTTAGAGCTGTGCCTAGTGGAATAAATGTTCACTGTCGTGGTCATTATTCTTAGCAGGAGTTCTGAGAACCTGTGTACTGAGCATGGTTTGGGGAGTGAATAAGTGTGTATGTGCGGTTTTTCACATAAGTATGTGCAGTTTTCTTTTTCAGCATGCATAGCTCCCCTTTTCCAAGTTACCCTTTAAAGATTAGTAAGATAATTATTGTTGTTGTTTAGTTGCTCAGTCACGTCAGACTCTTTGTGACCCCATGGACTGGAGCCCTCCAGGTTCCTCTGTCCATGGGATTTCCCAGGCAAGAATACTGGAGTAGGTAGCCATTCCCTTCTCTAGGGAATCTTCCTGACCCAGGGATTGAACCTGTATCTCCTGCATTGCAGGCGGATTCTTTACCGCTTAGATACCAGGAAGTAAAAGTGTTACTCACTCAGTCATGTCCGACTCTTTGCGATCCCTTGGACTGTATAGCCCCCTGGGTCCTCTGTCCATGGAGTTCTCCAGATAGAAATACTGGAGTGGGTTGCCTTTCCCTTCTCCATAAGCCCGGTAAAATAATAGCCTGTTTTAAAAGTTTACTGATTTTATGGTACCTTTTTTTCTTTATTGTGATAAAATACATATTAGCCACTTTTAAACACGCAGTGGTGTGTAGTGCATTCACAGTGTTGTACGACCGTCACCGCCATCTAGCTCTAGAACATTCTCACCTCCCCGAAAGGACACTCTGTTCCCATCTCACCACGTGGCTCCCTTCCCCAGCCGTTGTGCCACTGAGCGTCTTCTGCCCCGTGGCGCTCTGTTGTGGGTCTCATACAGGGGCGATCATTGCAGTGTCTGGCCTCTGTGTCTGGCTTCTTTTGCTTTGGTGTAATGTCCCCAAGATGCATCCACCATGTAGGGTGCGTCACCCGTCGTTCCTTTTTATGGGTGAAGACTAGTCCAGTGTGTGAATACCATGTTATGTTTATGCATTCTTCACTTCATGGACATTTGGGTGGTTTTCACCCTCTGGCCATTGTAAGCAGTGCTGCTGTAAACCATGTGTCATAGAAGCGTTTCGTCTGTGTGTTTTCTCAAGTCGTGGAAACTAAAGTGCAAATGGTATCCTGGAGGGATTCTCTGACCTTTGGACATTTAAAAAAGAGAAAGAAAAGTCTCAACATGCATATTTTCTGCTATAAATGGGAAGAGGGGAAGGAATACTGTGTGGTGGGAGGTGCGGGTGCCTTTGACAGTTTTGGGTGTGTAAGGGCCGAGGTGGGTGAGGCTGGGGTGGTTGAGAGCCCCTCGTGTACCCTCTGCCAGTGCGGACGGCCGCCCCCCACTCTACCTCCAGGCCCCACCTGGTCTCTTGGGCCTCCTCTAGTTAGTGTTTGCATCAGGATTAGCTTCTGTCGCAAACACCTGGACCACCTAGCCAGCCTGCCTTCTTGCCAGGTCCAGTTTGGGTTTCCTGTTGAATGTATTTGTTCATTTGATTCTGCACTTTTATGTTCCTTGGAAATTAGAGTCCACAGTGTCAAAGGAGGCTCTAAGGATGCATTTGCATTTCTGAAAGGGCAGTGTTGTCGTAGCGGTCACCTCCTGTCGCGGGGCTCAGTCTGTGCGGCTGGCACGCCCCCAGCAGCTGCTCGAGGTTGCTCCAGCGCCCTGCAGCGGCTCACACTCTGGGTGAGACAGACCCAGCACGGTGACATGGTTCACGCGAGGTGGGGTCTGGGGTCCTTCCTCTTGGTCCATAGCCTGTGTGTCCTGCAGAGTCTGCTTCGAGGGATTTCACCTTTCTTTGCATCAGTCTTCCCCTCTTCTGAGTTTCAGCTCTTGTTTGTCTCATTGCTGTGTCTTGTTCTGTGTTCAGGAACTTGTCTGCCCTTCACTGAGTGGCTGCTTGTCAATCCTTGTCAAATGAGCTTAATGAGCTTGAGGGCAGTGAAGAAACTAATTGCTCGCACCTGGGTGGCTGGGGCGAACTGCACTCTCCCCGTACATCCCTGTGGGCTTCAAGGCGCACAGCCTCGGTAGCAGGATTGCAGATGGATGTCGCCTTAGCCCCAGCAAGTTCCACTTCTTGGAGTTGGTCCTCCTCAGTCTGAAGCAGTGTTGTTCAGTTGCTGAATCATGTCCAAGTCTTTGCAACCCCATGGACTGTGCACAGCACGCCAGGCTCCTCTGTCCTTGAGTTTGCTCAGATTCTTGTCCATTTATTCAGTGATGCTGTCTAATCATTTCATCCTCTGTCACCCCCTTCTCCTCCTGCTCCCAGTCTTTCCCAGCATCAGGGTCTTTTCCATTGAGTAGGCTCTTGCCATCAGGTGGTCACAGTATTGGAGCTTTAGCTTCAGCAGTAGTCCTTCCAATGAATATTCAGGGTTGATCTCCTTTAGAATAGACCGGTTTC